CCTCATCTCTACAATAAATCAAAAAATTAGCCAGGTGTGGTAGCGCGCACCTGTAGTCCCAGCTACTTGGAAGGCTGAGGCGGAAGGATCGCTGGAGCCCAGCAGATCGAGGCTGCAGTGGCCGGGAGCGGGCAACAGAGTGAGACTCCAACTCAAAAAAAAGAAGAAAAAAGTTTATTGACTCAGTTGTGTGTTAGGTTCTAATAAACTTCTGTGAGTAATGTATTCTAGAAGTCAGTGCTTTTCATTTTAATCACCAAAAAGTAAATGTTGGGGAAAATAGTTTGTATTGTAGTTATTAAAACATAGGAAATATTCTTTCTGAGTGCTCGTGTGTAAGCTGCAGTATTGAAACTTCTTTTTCTTATCACTTTCAGTATTCTACTGAGACTCTGAACAAAAGTGGCCATCTGTTCCCTTTGGAGCACAATGGTGAGTGTCTTAGGAACCCTGACAGGGTGTTACTGGAGCTGGTGTGACTATAGGCCATGAGCATGGCTGGGACCAGGCCCCTGGGCTGGGAGGGAGCCCAGAAAGCAGAATGTGTGCTTGATTTTCAGAGCAAAGGCTCAGGAAGGCATTTGTGTGTCCTCTGCCATGGGGCAGGGAAGGTCACCTGTGTTGTCCTTCTACTGCTGGACCAGAGGTCAGGAGTGGTCTTTGAGCAGGATGGCCTGTGTCAGGGTCTGGCCACAGCCAGGCCTCTCCCTTCTCAGCTGGTACAGATGTGGGCAGGCAACTTGCTTTTTCTGGAAGGTACATGGCGCATTAAGAAGGAATGGGACTTAGCCTGTAATCCCAGCATTTTGGGAGGCCGAGGTGAGTGGATTGCCTGAGCCAGTGGGTTCGAGACCAGCCCGGGCAACTTGGCGAGACCTCATCTCTACAATAAAAATTAACCAAGTGTGATAGTGTATGCCTGTAGTTCCGGCTATTTGGAAGGCTGAGGAGGAAGGATCGCTGGAGCTCAGCAGGTTGATGCTGGGGTGGCTGTGAGTATGCCACTGCACTCCAGCCTGGGCGATGGAGTAAGACTCCAACTCAAAAAAAAAAAAAAAAAAGAATGGAACGCTGAGGCAGGTGGTGCACATGGCATCTGCTGGACCCTGCGTGGTGTACTGGGTGGCCTGTGCACATTAGGGACATCCATGCTGTAAAGCACTTGACTCTGCCTGGGCTCACCCACACATGACCCTTCAGTGGCTGGGAGCTGATGCCTGGCCCAGTTATGCGGGCTTTGTGGTACTCACATTTCTGGTAAATTTTGAGTCCCAGGATCCTCCTGCAGTGAAGGACCCAGGGATGTCACACTCTGTTGGTCCTGCTCACTGAGGCAGGGTGATGGCATCCAGTATCCTGTGTCATGCAAAGCATGCCTTGGTGAAGATGTCCCTGGTAGGAGACTTACCCAGGTTACTAAAGCAGAGATTTTCACCTGATTCTTTCATGACTAAATGGAAGTAAAGAGTGTGAGTCCCCAGCCAGCTTGAACCCTGCCACCCCTTTCCCTGACCTTTGGTATGACGTCCTCATGCACGCCTCCACTTTGGCCTCCTGGGGTTCATCCTGCATCTGGGACTAGGCCAACTACCGTATTACTTAGAGCTTCCCACACTCCATACTTGGTTGCTTTCTTCTGACCACTTCTCCACTCCTTCTCCTTCATCCCCTGCCCTGCCTCCTTCCTAGGGTCACCCCAGGGTCTTTGCAGGCGCAAAGACCAGAGGTGGGTCCCACGGCCTACACTCCAGGGTTCCTCAGCTGGATGGTGACTGCACGAGCCACTGTGGGGAAGGCCTGGGGGGTGCCAGGCACCCTCTGCCCAAGAGTGTGTCCTGGAATACCCTCTGGACAGGTCAGCGGGGGTCTGGATGTCACAGCTGGGGGCTTTCTCCCCTTGAGAAGGACCATACACTAACCTGGTTTTCAAGTCTTCTCCAAGTGAACACGATGGGGTGAATACTCCTGAGTTTGGGGGCCGGGCTGGCAGAAGGGGAGCTGGGCCAGGTGGGTGGGGGATGATATGGGGCAGCCCTGGGGAAGTTGTGGAGGAAGAAACCTGAAGAGGGACTCGCGGGCTTGGCCCTGGTGGTTCTGAGGTGTGAGGAGTTTCTGAGCTCAGTTTCCCAGAGACCTGGACCTACATATGAGCCTGTGTCACCGGTGTTAATGAGGAATGTGGGCTGTTTGTAAGAATGGCTTTGTGGGGGTCCTAGCTGAGGAAGTCGCACACCCATGAGGTCACAGACAAAGGAGAAGCATTTTGATGATACAAGAAAGATATTCTAGGGAAATGAGAGTGAAAGCAGAGCAGTGTCATTTTCAGGAAGTGCCCTGGTGGGAGACCAGCCCTCCTCTTGAGACAGGGCACTTCTTTAAAGATGTGGATTAGCTCCACCACTACCCAACTAAGGAAGACCTGGTGCTCAAGAGCTGGGGTCAGTGCGGGTGGGCTGGTGCTGGCCATGTGACCAGCAGTGTTTTGCATGGACTCTCTATGCTCTGCAGTTGAGTGCCCGTGGTGTCCTTCTCAGAACCCCTCGGAGCAGATGTCTTTCAGCCACAGAGTCAGAGGCACTGGGTGGCCCTCACTGGTGTGTCAGCCTGTCTGCCAAAGCAGCTGTGCCTTCGCTGCTGCTCATCTGTTTCTTCTTCCGCTCTCGTGTCTCCTCAGTAGCCCAGAGCCCCTGGAAGGTCATAAGTGGAGGACAGCCCGTCGGAAGCCAAGTGGCCCTGGCCCCCGATTGCCCCATCGCGCTGGGCCTGCCTAGTGCAACTCACACAGTTGGTCTTCAGTGGCAGCCGCAGTCTCCAGGCTCATGTGCAGGCCCAGGTGCAGCCAGTGTCGTGGACCACTGTGAGAGTTCAGGGCCACCCACCGCTCCACCAACCAAGCGACACTGCCGGTCTCTGTCAGAGCCAGAGGAGCTGGCGCGTTGCCCGTCCCCATGGCGCCCCGGTGGCTCCAAGGTGTGGACTCCAGTCTCCAAGAGGCGATGCAACAGTGGCGGAAGCGCCACACTGCAACGCTGCAGTGGCCATGGGAACGCCACACAGCAGGGAAGCCCAGGCACCCCGCCGAGGAGCGCTGCGTTGCTGGCCAGCCCCACCTCACCCTCTACACCCCGGCCATCCTCGGCCAGCAGTGGCTTTATGGACAGCAGCGAGGGCAGCATGGGCTCAGGCCCGCCCTGGTGTCCCACAGGGCCCTGCCCACTCTCTGCGCGGCGTCGCCTTTCTCTCTCTCAGGAGCACCTGGCAGGCACGGGCACCTCCCTGCCCTTGGCCCGTAGCAGCCCCACATCCATATCTGAGCTGGGCCGGCGCAGCGGCCTGCTTCGGTGCCGCTCACAGCCATGTGTGCTTGGCGGGAAGAGGAGCCGGCGCAAGCGGAGGCGTGAGGAGGATGCCAGGTGGACACGCCCATCCTTGGACTTCCTAAAAATGACACGGGTGAGGCTTTGTTGTCGCTTTGAACGTGGCAGTGCTGGGTTGTAGTTGCAGTACAGTGGCATTTGCAAGGCTCATCTCACCATCTGTATGAACTGGGGTGAATGGAGCTTGAAAAGCATATCAGGAGCACAGTTGGCTTCAGGCTGGGGTCCTTTCCCTCACTTCAGAGCACCCATGTCACCCAGAGGCAGAGCCCACACATGTGCCCTGAGTGACCAGGCCAGGCTCACGGGAGTGGGGGGACAGGAGAATGGGAGCAGTGAAGACTGAACTGTGGGTTCTGGCGCAGCAGAGCTGGCCTGGCGTAGCCATGGCTGTCGAGGAGCTCTAACTACTTTTTTCTGTGTGGTGATGGTATAGGAAGGGAGATGCTGTCCTGGGAGTCCTGTCAAGGCAGAGCTGGGGGCACTGCATCCAAACCCAGGCCCCACTTGTGGGAGACAGTGGGAACTGGTGCTGCTGCCTCATGTGGGCTGAGGCCTTTGAACATGGTCTAAAAGGAAGCCTGTGCCAGCCTGCGCATTCCCATGTTCTGGTGTCTCCTTCCTTCCTCTACAGCACATAGGCCATGGTTGGCAGCAGTGTTTAAGGAGAGAAATAGTGATGAGACTTCCAGGGCCCCAATCTGGTTGGTGCTAGAGGGTACATTTGCTTGGGTGTGCTTGGAGACTCTGGGGTACTCACAGTACCTGGGAGAGGAAAGTTGGGGAGCTGTGATGGAATGGGGGGCTTTGCATGCTCCCTGAGTTTTCTGTGGGAGGGAATCTGTGGGCGGCAGCAGAAATAAGAGTAGGACTCCCTGGTGCTATTTAAGTATAAGCTGGGGTGGGACTGGCATGTCAGCCGTTTTCCTGACCTGTGGACTTGGCAGCCTCCCTCCCAAAACTTTCATCCTAACCCCTCCCTGTGGGCCACAGTCTGCTGTTCCCTGCCTCCTGGGCAGTGGGTGTGGGCAGATGCCGTGCATGGGCATGTCTGTGTACTATCTGGGTCAGGTGGGCTGGGCTTGGGCGTCGTGGGAGTTAGTGATGAGTGTGGTCTCTTCAAGTGTAAATTAGGGAGAAGGGTCATGGTGGGGGACTTGGGAGCAGTATGGCTGGTGTCCCAGGCTGGACTCCCCAGGGTTCTCCTGAATGCCTACTCTAGGCCATGCTGATGAACTATAAGCTTTGCCTCACCTGACTGGTGGGTTCTCTGAAAGAGTCTTCCTGGTGGCTGAGGAGGTTGAAAACCCAGACTTGCCAGCTGTGGAACTTTTCTGCAGAGGGTGGGGTTTAGAACAGAAGGCTCTGATCTTCTCTGGTGCAGGTGAGCTGTCCCTGGGGCACCACGCCTACTGCATGTTGGAAAGTGAACTTCCTGCACACCTGACTGTCCTCTGCTTGCCAGTGTTAGTGTAGCCGGAGAGACAGGAGAGGGGATGGGGGTAGCCACTGGCTCAGGACCTTACAGGGTGGGAATAGGTCATGCCAGAGACATGTTGATGACTGAGCATCAGTCCTGCTCTGGTGACACTCCTAGATGTTTGGATACCTGGAAAGAGAGGAGGGTGGGAAGAAGTAGGGGAGTTGTGTTGGGGATTCTCGGCAGGGACTTGTGTGGGGCGGTGTGGAGATGGGCTGCCTCTGGCAGTGGGTGAAACATGGTAGGATGAGTGCTTGTTGGTACCCACGTGGCCATAGGTGTCTGCAGGTGTGTGAAGGTATCAGGGAGAACAAGACTGGAGAGCAGGATGCTGTCCAGTGCTGGGGGAGCCTCATGTGTATGTGCGTGGGGGGGGTCTGTACTGGGGCTGTGTGTGTCTGATGTGTAGGTGGGTAGCCCTGGTCTCTCTGGAACGACCTCTGGGGCTATGTGGTTGCTGGAGCCTGTGACCCCCACAAGGACTGTGGAGTGAGCCAAGGCATCAGTGACCATTTACGCCTCAGATCCTTGCAGCCCCACCTGGAGGCCCTTTTGCTATACCTCTTGTCCCTGCCCTAGTACTCAATGTCCCACATTGGGGGACCTGTCTCCTGGGTGTTTCTCTGAATCATTCCTTCTTCCTCCTGATAGCCCCCTTAACTACTGAGATATCATCCTTATTGCTTTGTTTGCTTCTAATCCTGTCACCCTCAATCCTGACACCACCAGCAGAGTGACCTCTCTGAAATGACGGTACATGATCATCGTACGAGTTGCCTCTGCTGCAAAACAAGTGAGCCCGTATTCAGCAGCTTGAGATACTGCGTCTCTGCTGGCTCCCAGTTCTTTGGGTGGGGGCTAGGATTCTCAGTGGATGCTCTGTTTGGGGACTTACATGGTGCTATGGTAGCCAGGGCTGTGGTCACCCAAAGGCTTGATGGGGACTGCAGGCCTGCTTCTATGCTCACTCCCATGGCTTTTGGTGGGATGCCCCCATTCTTGGCCGCATGGGCTCTCTGAAGTGCAGCTGGGGTGTCATCATAACACGGCAGCTTGCTTTTCCCATAGTGGAGGCTTTGAGAGGCACTGGAGGCTGCTGCAGCTCTGCATGACGTAGGGTCTGTCAGTGCAGCTTCTGTCTGCTCCTTGACTGTCCAGTTCATACTCTCTGGGAGGGGAATTAGGTTCTGCTTCTCAGGGGAGTGATTTAGAAACCCCGGTCTTCCATGATGCCTGCCATTCAGGATGGGGTTCCTTGAATCGGCGTTGCTGTTGATACCAGCTCTGCCATCTCCCAGCTCTTGTTCAGGAGTCTGGCTGTCATAGGCAGAAAGGGCACATAGGTAGAGAAGGAAAGTGGAGGCCAGGACGGGTGCAGTGTTTGTGAAGCATTGTGTGTATTCCTCCAAGTGATTTCCTTGTTTTACAAGTTGGCTAGATTTTGGTATTTTAAGACAGTCCTGGTCTCTTGTGGTTGAGTCTGTGCGCTGCCCTGCCAGGGATGAAACGCCTGTTTTTTTTCCTGCTTGTAGTTAGTGGTGTGCACACATGCTCTGTGGCTGAATCTAAGCGTTCACTCATTGTGGTGTAGAAAGTGGGCAGCAGGGAGAGGAGGAGGTGTTTATTTTTTAATAACATTAAAAACATAGTAATTTTCAAACTATAAAAAAGAGCAGAAAAGAATGGACTTCTGTGTACCTACCTCTGAATTGAATCCTGTTCTTCCATATCTTCATCAGTTACTTTCTTCATGGAGGGAGGCTGTCCAGGTGCCATACACCTGTCTCACTCCCTGGGACAGCCTCATGTTTGTTCTGTGTATAGCTGCGTGGTCCTGGGTAGCTGTGATTATGCGTTGTTACAGATGCAGCCATTGGTCACCTTATCCATGAGTGCCATCAGTGTGACAGAAGTGAAGAACTGGTTTTTCTCTTAGCAGCAAATCTGATTATATTCAGACCACGGGGGTGGGGAGGCGACTCATTGAATGTGTGCATAGCCAGGCTCCTGCCAACCATGCCTTGGAGGATGGCTCCAGCTCTTCTGAGTGTCCCAGGCTTGCCCTTGCCTGTTCCTTCCCATGTTCACCTGTTTGTCAGCTTGTCTCTGACTGAAAACTGGCTCCACCTTTCTCCTTGGCACCTGTCTTCTGTCTTTGAATCCTCTCTACCTCCCATCAACTGGCTCCTTCCTCCCCTTCACTCCAAGCCCTCTGTCTCCTCCTCTCCCAGCTCCCTCCTCCCATCTCTTTCTCCCCTCTCTTTCTTCCCTGTCTTTCCCTCCCCCTCTCCACCAAGCCTGCCTTTCCTTTGCCACTGGTGAGGTAGACAATTTCATGTCCCTTGGTCTCCATGCCTTCCCTTCCATGAAATGCGGATCATTTTTCCTGTGAGTTCTTGGTTTTTCTCTTTTCTAGTTGGGATGCTGATGCTCCTCACACGTGTTGTGGATATGTCTTCCAGCTTGTGCCTTTCATTTCATACATTGCATCTTTGGGGAACGGATGGCCTGCAGCCCAGACTATCAGCCAGTTCTGTTTGTGTTTTGAAACCCTTCCCACCTCAGTGCCATAAACGCTCTGGTTTTTTTCTAAAATGTTTATAATTGTGAGTTACTGGACACTAGTCGTTACTTATCTGGATGGGCACAGCCACACACTTACATGCACATTTACATGCATACCCACACATGTACACTTACCCACATACATGCACACTTGCATGCACACAGGTGCATACCCCACACACATGCATACTCATACTCATGCACACTCACCCACATGCACACTCACCTGCACATCCACACATGTACATTTACACACGTGCACACCCACGCACCCACAGGTGCATACTTGCATGCACACCTACAGGTGCATACCCATACACATGCACACTCACACATGTACACTTACCCACACGTGTGTACGCTCAGGCACACTCATACCTGCATACTCACAGGCTGACACACCTGTGCATACCCACCCACAGGTGTGACCTGGCTCCAGTTTGCTTCCCTGCTTGCACCATGCAGTCTACGTACTTGGCTGGTTCACTGTTCAGGGCTTTTGCATTTGTGTCTGTCATTGAAATGATTGGGCTGTTGTCTCCCTCCTGGCACCCCCTTGCTATCTGGTCTCAGGGTCACACCAGCTGGAGCAGGGATTGGGCAGCTTTTTGAATGGTGAGCCTGAGACACAGCCTGTCTGCTGTGAAGGTTTGGAAGCAGCGGGGATCGGCCAGAGGGAGCCTGAGTCTCGATGCATGGCCTCACTAAGTGAGACTGGGACAGGGCTCTGGGCAGCAGGGAGTGGACCCACACTGCCTTCCCAGACCCTTTCCTTGGAGCCCATCTAGGATTTTCTGCCTTTATTGATAAAACTGTGTTTCAAAGTTGAAATTAAAATATTATCACTGGAGTATGCAAATCAGTGGCGGTTCCAGCTGAGTGCAGAGCATGCACACTTGCTCTCCACTTATAAAAGCCTGACTTTGAGGGCTTTGATGTGCTTTTACCACTTAAATAAACTTCGGCCAGTTCTGGGGAGATGGAGTTACTCCAGTCTGTTGCAAAGAAGAGAATTGCTTCCTGTGGGTTCTTCCAGCCAGGTCATCAGGACCCCTAGTTCTTCAGACACAGGCTGCTTCCTTGTCAGTAGTGACGAGAGGCCACTGAGACTGAAAGTGCGTGCAGTAAGGCTGTGTTTAGACCTTCAGGCCGTTGTATTTTTTAGAACCTTGAGTTTATTGAACAGATGGTGCCATCCATGCCTCCAAAGGCATGAGAGTACCAGGCCCACCCTCCATGCAGTGGCCATCAGAGCCTGTACAGCTGTGGTGTGCCTGCCAGGCAGTTTCCAGAAGGTTAAGACCAAAGCCAAGACTGAGAGCAGCTTGTGTCAAGGAGAGGATCATCCTAGCCATCGGGTAGTTATAACGAAATGTCACAGACTGGTAATTTCTAAATACTATACGTTTATTTATTTTAGTTGTACGGGCTGAAGGTCCAAGATCCGGGTGCCCTCAGGCTTGGAGTCTGGTTGGGGCCAGTCTCTGTGCCCTCTCAGGGTGGTATTGAGCTCCCTCTACCCACTTACAAGCACTGACCTACCTGTGAGAGCTGCCCTCAGTACTCCCTTCCCAAAAGGCCGCACCTCCCAGCCCTATCACAGTGGAGATTTAGAAGGACATGTTCAATGGGGGCAAGACCTAGCAGGAGGAGAGTTTGAGATAGCCCAAACTGAACATCTGGAATTTGCAGCTGCCACTTTTTTTGCTCATTTTCTGGGACCATCTGTTCAGGAGACCTGCCCAGTGAGGTGGAGGGCTGGTGGGCACTGATTGTGCTGCTTCATATCCCCTGAGGGCACTGATGCCCCTAATGCCTGGTGATGAGCCAGGAACCACAGCCATGTGGTGGGCCAAGAGTCCTTCCTCCACGTCTATGCAGAAGATGGGAGACAGGAGGGTCCTTGTGTATCTCCTGCTTCCTGGTGTTTCAAGACTCTTTTCTTACACATGTACATGCAGTTCACAGACTCAGTGGCTTGCACCTACTTTTTATTATTTTTATTTGTTTTAGCTTCCCTCAGAGTTGAGTAAACAAACTCTCTCAAAGATGTGTTCTGCTTTAACCTTTTACTTTCCCCATCAATTATTTTGTTATTCTACTGCTTGCCCTTAGATATACATGAAAGGTGATGATCATAGAAACTGTAGTGGGCCCACCTGGCTCTGTTGCAGAGGTGTTGTAGTCATCACTACAACATGTTTCCCTCTCACTCTCCACTCCCTCTCACTCTCCACTCCCTCTGTCCATAAATCTTCCAAGCAGCCAGACTCGGTGGCTCAGCCTGTAATCCCAACGCTTTGGGAGGCTGAGGTGAGTGGATTGCCTGAGCCCATGGGTTCGAGACCCGCCTGGACAACTTGGCAAGACCTCATCTCTACAATAAATAAAAAATTAGCCAGGCGTGGTAGCACGCACCTGTAATTCCAGCTACTTGGAAGGCTGAGGCAGGTCGAGGTTGCAGTGGCTGGAAGCGTGCCACTGCACCCCAGTCTGGGTGAAAGAATGAGACTCCAACTCAAAAAAGAAAAAAAATCTTCCAAGCTTATCTTCCTGAAAACACCCCTCCTCTCTTTTGCAGGTCCCTCACCCGACACACTTGACAGTACACATGTGGGTGTACGTGTATATAGCTTGCTCTGGCTGTCTCTTCCTTGCCTGTGGTGTGAACATTCCGGTGCCCTTTGGGCCTCATGGCCCAGAGCAGGCCGGTCTGTTCCTTCCCTTGGCAAATAAAGGAGGCACCTGGCTATACCCAGTTGTCTCTTGGTGTTTCTCCTCCATGTCTGGGGCAGCCGTCTGACATGCTCGCATAAGCTGGACTCAGGTGCTCTCAGGCAGTGGGAGAGACCCACCCCAGCTCCTGTCAGCCCCTTGCCTATTGAGTGACCCTGTGGTTGGAGCAGACTCTCTGAGTGAGCACGTCCTGCATAGGGGTGGAGGTTGTGCCTTGACAGGAGAACAGATCTGAGTGTTTAGTTTCCCCAAACTGGCAGGGGTCAGTGCAGATGGGCTGTAACCAGCTTTGAACATTTGCTGAAGCAGCTTCAGGATGGCTCCTTGGGAGTTCCCTTTTTTTTTTTTTGAGGCTCTCATGGCTCAATTGTAGCTGTGTTAACTCAGCCTCAGACATGGAGGCCTGCCCAACTGCAGCCAGGCTTGTGTGTCCACAGACTGGCCAAGTAGTTCTGCACATAGTTTCAAAGACCCTCTGTGCTTTAGAGCCCCTGGTTTAGAACTTGAAGACATGACCTTTGTATTTTGACAGCTGCATCATGTTCATCTGCACAGATGTCAGTGACCCTTGAACCAGAGCAACAGGAGCAGAAACTGGGCCTGTACCCTAGGCCTGGTGCTGGGGATGAGGGGTATGTGGAGGATGGGCGTGGTCCAGGTCAATGCTGGCTGGTGGCCCTGCAGCCCCTCTACTCTGAACCTTGCTTTCCTCACTGCGATCTGTTCTGTGTGTGATGGCTCTGTGTGGTCACTGTTTGCTGTGTGTTCACTTCACAGCCCTGTGGGCGCCATCTTCACTAACATCATACAGAGGCTCTAGGAAGCTGGCTGTTTCCAAGCTTGGGAACACAGCCAAGCCTGTGAGCTTGGCCCAAGTCATGGTGCAGGGTCTCAGCGTGGTTCTTGGGCCCTCAACCCTCCATCTTTCTGGAGGATCAACTCCTACTGTCTGAATCAGGACAATGATGCCACTGTTTGGAACATAGGGGAATCTGTCTGCCTAAGGCACATGGCCTCCCCCGGTACTCAGGTGTGCACGTGTGGTGTGGCACCACTGTACTGTCTCTTCCCTGCCTGTGGTGTGGACATTCCAGTGCCCTTTGGGCCTCATGGCCTAGAGCAGGCCGGTCTTTTCCTTCCCTTGGCAAATAAAGGAGGCACCTGGCTATACCCAGTTGTCTCTTGGTGTTTCTCCTCCATGTCTCAGTTCATCCATGATAGCAAGGCGGTGACTGAGGCCGATGAAATAATGAACAAGATCAGACAGCAGAAGTCCGACGCTGCACAGATAAGCTGTGTCCTCACCTGGGCTCGGGTTTGTGTGTACAAGTGACGTTGGTGGTAAACTTACCTTGGTTTGAATAAAAATGGAATTGTGCATCTGCATTTTTTGACCAACACATATGGCTAGTGTGTCTTTAAAAATATGATTCTTTAGAATTGTACTTCACCAGTGAAGAACAAGAAAACAAAAAATATGGCTGCTTGGCTTATAGACCCAATACTTTCCTTACAAGTACCAATTTCAAATGGGACTCTGTCCTCCTAGGGATGTTTGCATATTTACTTGGGCTTGCCGTGAACTGTTCTAGGAAATGTTTTGGCTGTGGGAGAGATTTGTGCTATGTGAGGCGTTTCACAGCTCTAGAGAAGGGTGGTTTTGGGGAGAAGGACCTTTGGCGTGTGGTATGGGTTAGCTCGTGTTCTAGGCCATTGTTTTAGGTGTTGCTGGCATCCACATGCTGTGTCAGTTTGGCCTGCCCTTGTCCTTGGTGTCACAACGCCCTGTGCTCTGCATGTGTTGGCTAATGGCATCCATGTGCCCTTTAGAAGCCTGAATCATGTGTTGCATGTCTGAAATCAGTGTGGGTATGGCCGAGGAGAGGAGCCCAGCCTGACCCTGAGGAGGCCTGGAGGTGACCTGGGCAGGTAGAACCAAGTAGGGAGGCTGCTTCTGGTGAAGGTAGATGTGAAACACAGGTACAGCTTGGCATGGACAGCACCGGACACTGTGGGACGAGGGGCAATAGGAGAGGGCTGGGAGGTGGGGTGTAGAAGCTGGGGCCTGTTCGTGTCAAAGGGCTGCTGCCCTGGCTGTGGTTGTGGGGACACAGGGTGGGCCTGAGGTGAGGGGGCTGGTACACGCCTCAGCTGGACATGCCTAAAAGGCCCCAGGAACAGTCCAGGAGAGGTGCCACTGAGTGGATGAAGGCTCTGCACTGCAGTTCAGAGGAGAGCTCTGGTCTGAAGTGTAGACTAGAGGGGTCCTCATCCTTGACAGGCCTGAGGAAGGGGACTGCTGAGTGAGAACTGGCTGGGGTACAGTGGGAAGGGTAGCAGAGACACTTCAGAGAGCAGGGGAGGCACAGAGGCTGGAGCTCAAGGCCCTGCTGTCCAGGCACTGGGGTGTGGAGTATGCAGGACAGCTTAGTGGCAGGGGACTGGGAGGTGCCCACTGGGGACCGAGGGCAGTTCTCGCTCAGGGAAGACACCTTTGGATATACATCCATCTGTCTTAGATGTTTTGAGATGGGTGAGATTTACTTGTTTGTATTTTGAAATAGCCATTCCGAGAGGAACCCCAGGAGAGAGAGGAAAGTGGGAAGCTAGGGTTTGGGGGATTCGTCACTGGTCATGCTGGAGCGGTCCGATGGGTCCAGGTGGAGGAGAGAGCAGGAGTGTTTCTGAGGGCCTAGACCTAGCCGTGAGGTATCTTGAGCATGGCCCGGGAAGAGGCTGTTGGAAGTGAAGGCACATGGACCCCTCCTTGGCCAGCCCATGTGCGTGTATAAGACTGGGACTGGGGGTCGGTGCTGTCACACTTGAGCCCACAGTGTGTCTCTGGGGCTTGTTCTGGTATCAGGGACCCACGAGCCTGGCGTGTTGGGTCTGGACAGGGCCTGACTGGGTAGGTGCTGAGGAAGCTATAGGGCCTTGTGGGCGAGCCAGTGAGGGCAGCCAAGCGGGGACAGTTCTGAGGAGGCAGCCCGAAGGGTCTGTGGCCTGGGCACACGGGACTGAGGATGCTGGCTAGAGCCCCAGCACACGGAGCCCTTGGAGTCACACAGTGCCCTCAGCGTGGGTGGGATCTGGCCCCACATAACCAGTCTTTAAGCCTGTCTCTTTTCTGTTACAGACTTTAAAAAATTCAAAAAGCCTTTGCTCCCTGGATTATGAAGATGAAGAAGAGGATGACCCCCAGGTGAAGACAGTTGTGTCCTCCCCGTGTGCCTCACGGGGCCTTGTCGGCATCCTCACTCCCGGCTCCAGCCCGAGGGCTACGCACTCCAAGCCCGGCCCCACCAGCCGCAGTCTGTGGGCCTCAAGGGAGAGGGCACCTGGAGGTGGGAGCAGTGGGGACCCCAGCGATGGGGACCCCAGTGACGAGGACAGTGCTGGGGAGGAGGGTGTCTTCCCCCTGGACCGTGGTGAGTTGGACCTGGAGCAGATTGAGAACAACTGACACTGGGCTGGGCGGTAGGAGGAGCTGCCGCCCATGTCTACCCTCAGGGCACAGCACGGACAGAAACAGGCTCCATGTTATTTTGAACAGTGAGGCATAATTTTGACCCAATTTTTCCTAGAGAAGTATTTTGCATTTTTATGGCTTTTACAGTTCCTGGAGAAAGCGTCTCCATTTTGAAATGAATTTCAGAAGGGCATTCTATTACATGTGAGTCTATTATAACAAGAGTCTGTTACATGTGAGTCTGCATAGATCCCCATGCGGGTCCATGTTCCTTTTATAAAGAGCCTACTCTGAAGAGCGCCCTGCATAGTGGTGGTGCTGGGAAACCCCAGGCCCCTGCTGCCATCTGACAGGCGTCCCCTTGCTCCAGCAGGATTACGGCACTTGGGGCCTGTGTGCTGGGTTTTGTGCCCTTGGACTTTGTCACCTGTGTGTTGGGGACCGCCAGCTTGTGGCCATCTGATTTTCCCACCCTTGGCAATGATGCTGTTTGAGGTGGGCCAAGCTGTCTCAAGTCTGTGTGTCCCGTAGCTGGGTTGAGGAGAGTGTCTGCCCCTGCAGGTGGCATGTTCCGGCCTTCCTGAGAGGCCCTCCTGTCGCAGGTCAGCACCTCGTCTGTGAATTCAATAAAAGAAATTTGCTTTGCATTTGTAACTTCTGATGGTTTTCATTTCCGTGATTCCAAGTGACCAGCTGGGCCTCAGGCCTGCTGCTCTGGGCTCAGTACTAGACAGAGCCTGGTATTGCTTAGTTATCCTTCCTGGAATTCAATGAAATCACAGGGGTTTCTACTGAAGACATCGTTCTCAGGAACATTGCTTAAGAGGAAGGAGTTTGTGGTAGCAAAAGAAAACACACATAATTTTTGGAGAAATTTTCTTGATTTTCTTTCTTCCAAGAAAGAGTGTGAGAGGTCAGTGACGACTGATGCCTCCTCATTGGTTTGGGCTGTGCATCCAAGGTGGGTAGAGAGAGCAAGGGCTGGGGTTTTCCTATCAGTCTCCCTGAGGCCAAGCCCAGTGAGGGTGGAAGCAGGGTGCTGCTCTCAGGTAGCCCTCCCCTGAGAGGTGAAGGGCAGGCTGGCACTGGGCCTTAGCAGCTGGAGTGGCCTCCCTGCCCTCCTCTCATGCTGCAGGTGCCCACGGGGTGAGTGTTCTCAACACCTCCTCTTCTGGCACACATATTTGCACAACTCTGAAGTGGCTATGATGGTCTCCCTCCGATGAGTGTCAGGAGTTTTTTCCCCAAAAAATCTAGGCTGCAGCCTTGAGGGCGCTGATGTTTCCAGAGATGTGCTGCTGGGACTCTTGTTCACCCACAGATTGGATGTCCTGTGAGGGGACTGCACCCTCAGGAGGAAAGGAGTCTGCAGTGGTTGGAATAAAGTCCTCCTGGGCTAGGCACAATGGCCCACATGTGTAATCCTAGCACTTTGGGAGACCTACGCTGGTGGGTTGCTTGAGCCCAGGAGTTTAAGACCAGTCGGCACCATAACAAAACCTTGTCTCCACAAAATATAAAACAAAATTAGCCGGGTGTGGTGGCACATGCCTGTAGTCCCAGCTACTTGAGAGGCTGAGGTGGAAAGATTGCCTGAGTGCAAGAGGTCGAGGCTGCCGTGAGCTGTGATCATCGTGATTATGTCACTACACTCCAGCCTGGGTGATAGAATGAGCCCTCCTGAGCTGTGTCCTGGAACAGTCTGTCCTCTAGTTAGTGGTTCACAGCTGTTGGGGAATCTAATTTAAAAAGGAAAGATGCTGAGGGTATTTGGGTTCAGAAGAGCCACACACTCTGGACCCAGGAGCTGCCTCTATCCTTGGCAGGCCTCAGGTGGGCCTTGGGGCTTCAGCTGAGGAGACCTTTGGGAGCATGACTGGGCTGGGCCTGTGTCCATGCAGCTGGACTGTGGTAGGGCCTTTGGCCATGGGTGGGCATGAGAGAGACACAAGCCACTTGGACCCTGAAAGGCAGAGGGGCCTTTGGTGGCTTCTGAAAGTGTCACCTGCTCCCCAGAGCCACCACCTGGCCCATATGTAAAGGGGAAGTGAAAAAGCTTCAGGAACCAGAAGGCAGATTCTCGGCGGAAGTGAGGGACCCCTGCATTGGACTTCAGATAGGATTACCAGACCATACTGAATGTTGTGTTTTGGGTTAGATTCCTGGAGACCACTGGCTCTGGGTGATTGTAGCAAAAGCCATTGCAGTCACCTGTATAAAGTCAGGTCACCATCCAGAGGTTTGCTCTGGGTTCAGTGCTCAGGGCTTTGGAGGGTGGGATGGAAGGTAGGCCGAGATGCCTGGGTACAGGTAAGGTCCCTGTGAGGAGAGAGCCAGGCTGAGGGCCATGGGCGACATCATGGTGTTGGCATCAGGCCTGCTGGAATGACAGTGCTCAGGCCCTCTGAAGGAGACGATTGTGGCAGCAGAGGTCTGGTGATGCCCACCAGAGCTTGTGCACTCCATGGCAGGGGGTGGATGGGGTGTCCCCTCACTTCGCTGTTGAGCTGAGTAGGCCAGGCCTCACCTGGTGAAGCCACCAGAGGGCTGCGGAGTTGGCATCTGGTGCCCCTACCCGCAGGTCTGGGCTGCTAGGGATATGGGACCACTGCTCCAGGGCCACCTGAGAACGGCCACTCTTGCTTCTTGTCCCCTGAGCTCCTGGGCTCCTGTCTTGGAGGACCACAGCCCTGCGGGCCTTCCTCACTTTCCCAGTGGTCACCTGCCAAGCACAGCTCTGGGACCCCAGGATTGGGAAGCCCCTCCACCATATAGTTCTCCCACCTGGGAGGCACATCTCACTTGGGGTTTGGAGCGTTTCCCAGCCCTGCATTTCCCAGGACAGATGGGTGGGGTGTGGCACGTGCCGTGTGTTCCACTCTGCACAGCCTCGTCCACACATCAGCTTTGGGCCTGTGCTGGGTGGTGAACGTGGGGCTGTGGATGGGAGTTGGGGTCTTTGTGGAGTTGCCTGGCACCCCTCCCACCTCTCAACCACCCTCCAACCTCCACAGGCCCACACCCCTCCCTCGCACATATGCACACATGTTTGCTCAAGGCCAGCCCCCTGTGGTCTCACCAGGTGGGACCTGGGTGCACCTGTTTGACTCCTGTTCACTCTGAGTGTCACCTTCACAAACCACCCCCCTTCGGACACTCAACCCAGTCAGAGTGATCCTCACTGTGTGGCAGGTGGGTGCAGGTCAGTGAGAGACCCAGGCAGAAGGGATGCCTGTGGCCAGTCCGGAAACCTGCCCGCCCCAGGGGACATCCTCTCCAGGGCATTGCCTGGGCACTGGCTTCTTTCTGGAGCCGGCTCCTCCCTTGGACATTGTGTGAGCTCTGGCCTCAACCTTCTGAGTCTTGGCCTGAGCCTAGAACTCTTCCAGCTGCTCCATGGACTGCCCACCCCCACCTTCTTCCTTCCCACCCCTGGGCCCCCCCAGACCCAGAGCTGTCCAGCTGGCTGGTCAGGCTGATGTCAGCTCCTTCTGAGGTCTGGGCCTGGGACCATTCCCCTCGGTGTCATTGAGGTGGCATGGGAGGAGGATGCGGTGGGATGTGGGTTGTCTGGTGAGGCAAGGCCCCTGGGCAGGGTGGTGCAGCTGGGCCTGGAGGCAGCACAGCCAGTTCTGCAGGAAAGACCTGCCATGTCGTCTGTGCTGATGGGGAAACTGAGGCTGAAATTTCCCTCTTCTACCTGGCAAAGTGTGGCATGTGTGTGCTGAGCATGAGCTCATAACCTGGCCCCGGGGGATGTCCCAAGGGTGTATTTTCCCTGGGAGTGTTTGTGTGTGTATCTCTTGGGGTGGGGGCACCAGGACCCTCCCAGAGGATGTGAATTGAGTCTCTTGCTCTGCCCTGTGGGGCCACCTGCCTGCTGGGAGGGCATAAGGAGTGACAGGCCAAGAGCTGCATGCTTCAGGGTGTGGTGGTATCTGCCCCCTCCGCCAGTACTACCTGCGTGAAATCTGCATGGCAACCTTGGGTATGTCTGTGGGCCCCTGGGGACAGTTCCTGGACTCTTGTTCCTGAAGCCACAGGAAGTGCTGGGAAGGGGTGGGGGGTATTCTAACTAAAGATCCACCAGCTGGGCCTGGTGTTGGTAGCAGTCCTTCCTCTGAGGCAGGCGGCCCAGGGCCCTCTCGGGAGGTCCAGAGCCATGGGCAGGTGGAGGGAGGCAGGAGGCAGGAGGCACCTTGGTGTAGCCCAGACCCTGGGTCCCAGGGACCTTCCCTGGGGCATCCATCTCAGTGGCCTGTCCCTTGCGGGGGCCTCTGGGTTGGGTCAGGCCTGGAGTGCTGACACCATGGCCTGAGGTCGGGGCGGGACAGGGGTCAGGCCGAGACCTCTGGGACAGTCACGGTCCCCAGCTGGGGCTTAGGGGGCACCTCCATTGCAGGCTGGGCGCCTCCTGACAGTGGCCTCTCCCTTCTCCTAATCCCCCCAGAGCTGCTCTGAGGGCCCTGGACTTGCCCCTCTCCTGGGGCATCCCCTACTCCAGGGCTTTGTTATCCCCACTGCTGGAGGCTGGGCCTGGGGACTCCTGAGGGAAAGGGGCGGAGGTGAGGCAGGTAGGAAGGAGAGATGGCTCAGAGATGGATGGCTGCCTCCATTCGTGCCCTCACCTCAGGCTCCTGTCGCCCCATCCATGTCTGCATCTTCTCCTGAACACCCTTTCCATCCTCCCCCAGAAACCCACTTTGCCCCTCGAGGACCAGCCTCACCCGGGGCTGCTTAGGCTGACCCTAGTGCCTGCTCCCACCCATCCCTGTCCAGGGGCCTCTGAAGACCAGGCTCCAAGGGAGATGAGGACTGCAGTCTCCATGCCAGGGCCTCAGGGGCAGCCAGCCTCCTGCGATCATGGCCTGTCTGCCTGGCCTCTTGTCCCTGATCCTGGGTTTTTCTCTGGCACCTCAACCCGAATGTGAGTGCCTCTCTCCAGGATAGAGCGGGTGAGGCTGTGCATGCCCCTGTGGAAGGGCAGCCAAGCCCAGCTGAGGGCCCGGACCATCCTCCTGAGAGCGAGGCCACCTGTCCACCCAGTGACTGACTGGGCCATCACTTGTCACCGGGGGCAAGACACTGAAAATCTTCCATAGAGCAGGAACTCGTGTTCTTATCTGTTGGTCTGATGTGGTCACTCAGTGCCGAGGATAGGGAGATATCTTGGTTAGGGTGAAGGGAAGGGGGCAGCTTGGGAAGGAGGTTGCTGAACCATCCCAGGCTCTGCAGGTGGGATCTTCAGTAAAAGCAGGATTTAGGCTCTCCTGGTTGACCCTTTTCTTGCCTGTCTGGCCTTTGGGTGGAGGGGGTCTCCATTGAGGACCCTGAGCCCCACACTGGCCATTGTGGCCTTCTGATGCCTAGACACAGATGCAGATGCAGACATAGAGGCGGACACCTCTGTAAGAATACCAGAACCCAGGGCTTGGCATCTAAGTGTCTCTGACAGATGTGGATTGGCTGATTCCTGGGTACCGGGGATCAGGCTCGACACAAGGGACCAGGATCTGGGACGTGTTCTCCACTCAGAGGGAGCAGTCAGTGCAAAGACCCTGAGACAGCAAGGCCATGGGACTCCAGTGGGGAGCATGGGGGAGGGGCAGATCAAATCAAGATGGCAGAAATGAGAGCAAACATATCAGTAAGCA